GATTTAGGCTGAATGGCCTACTTCTGCTCCTACACCTTATGATCTTACTCAGAGCTCCTAGAGTAGGGATCACAATGATGGATGTAAAGGGCTGAGGATTTCCTTGAATAAACTTGTGTGGCCTTGCTGATATCCATCACAACTTATCTTCTGATGTATCTCAGATTGCTGTGGCTGGAATCCTGAATGTTATGGTTCAAGCATCCCTGATGTCTGAGCCAATCAGCAGCAAGCAGACCATTGCGTATGAGAGATGAGCAATGCTTGGCCATAGCAACTTCGTTCATCTTTGGGATGCATGACAAGGATGCTCATTTCTCACATGGACGTGACTTAAACAAGTCCAACAGCAAAGATTAAACTACAGCACACATCGTAACAGTGCAAGCTCCAGAGCTGCTCTATACTTGGCCTGATGGCTTGGAAGACTCAGGCAGTTGTCCCCAGGTACCTTGGGCTTAGAAAGCCCAGGCCTATAGAGAGTGTCCTGCCCAGGAGCAGGCTCAACCTTATTGGCTAGAACTTCAGCAAACTTTGAGATCATCGGCGGGGGGAGTGAAGGGTCCAGGCACCTCAGGAGTGTCGTGAGAAGAAACCTATGGAGGTCATATGTGTTGCTCCTGATCTTCATGAAATCATACTATCTCCCAGAAAGGAAGGGGCATCTGGAGTGTCCTTCATTCCTTTATTGCCTTGCCACTGATGCTCAATACCTATGAATGGAGCAATGAAGTGCTGATCCATGCACATATCTGCCAGATAGAGCACACAGGACCTTGTTCTCCATTGTGGTTGTCAATCTGTCCATTAAGACAATCATGCTAGAGCCAGCACTAGTACTGGTAATGTTGATGGGCTGCTCCATCTTTTGATCAAGCTTACTGAGTGCTTCTGACAAACTCGTCTGTGCACTTTGACAAAATCATTAATAGCCACGACCTTGGGATCATCTACTGCCTGGGGTTGAGCAGTTGCCTGGTCTCCAACTGTCCTCTGAGTGCCAGAGATGTGGAGATTTTCTTCCTTGACCACCACGGATACATAGCAGTGATGTGCTCACCAAATCGTCTTCCTGAGAAACCACTGAGGTAGGAATCTTTGAGCTGCTGAAGCTCAGTGGCTTCCTCCACAGAGGTGGAGCTGGAGCCACTAATACCTGCATAAGACAAGAGGGAATCCTGCTCCCCACAACTACCATGTTACACTTCAGGAGGCCATCCACAGGGAGGAGGAGCATGGCTTAAAAGTTCCACATGCTTGTGACAATTTTGTATATTAGCTCACATGGATCATCATTGATATTTTGCTGTAAGTTTTAACCAAGTGTAAATTTATCATTACTTTCCGAATTAGTGCATTGAGTTTTCTGACTACAAATTGGGTTTGCTGCCCTTCAGACTTACATTAAAATACAGCATGATCAATCCCAGATCACCGTGTCAGTCTACTCTAACATGGAAGGGACATGGGTGCCAAAATCAGAACCTGCCTGCTTTTTGGAAAAAAAAGTTAACAAGCTATTGAGCGAGCTAAAGAAAAAAAGCTGTAATATTTTGTTCCCTACTCCATACAACATAATCTTCAATACAGTGACCTCGGATTGTGGAATGTCCCTACATGGATCTTTGTCTTTGGGACCCTTTTCTGATGAATGCAGAATGCCATTTTGTACCATTATATCTCCGTGCCCTTGTGTGGCCTATGAGATCTTGGATAGTCTTTGTGAACTGTGGTGCCAATGTAAGGTCGTATGCAATTACTTCTGTTTCACAGAGATGATTATGTTTAATCTGTAATGACAAGGTTACAGTGACAATGGTAAAGGTTACATGTGATCAGGTTTTGTATCCCACGTAGTTGGATTCTACATTTGTGTCACATGCAGGATATAATGATTAGAGATGATTGCAACCTGTTCTAGGAGAGCCTGATTAAGGAATTGAAACGCCACACATTTCCTCCAGTGGGGTGCATGAGTTCAGACAGACACAGAGCTTACTCCGTCCCTTCCAGGTGTGAATGCAACCATTTTCCATTTTCAACACACACTTATGGCTTGCATGAGTATGGAAGACAATGTAGCTCACAGTCAGTACAGTGAGTCGCAGGCTCAGCTTGTTCATCAAGTGCCCATCCCTTAACCCCATTTTCCCTTCTTTCTTGCACTCTCTGTCGAACCCATTAATACTGATCTTCCATAGATTCTCCCACACTTACCAAATTACAACTTCATCTCTCAACATTACCACAAGGCCTACCCTACAGCTTAGCCACGCCAACTAGTTGTGAGTTTAACCTGAGGGTCACCATGCCTCAGGTAAGGGCGAGGTTGAGAAGGCAGGATCTTCACAAAGCTTTGAAGTATTAGTTAATATGTGATCAAAAATTACAGTGTGGGTGCATGCAGCATCAACATTTACATTACTACAAGAAATGAAAAACAGAGTTCTGGAGAAACTCAGCAGGTCTGGCAGCATTTGTAGAAGCACAGAGTTATTGTTTTCAGTCCTATGACACTTCTTCAGAACATGGAACTCAAAATGTTAACTCTGTTTCTCCCTCCAGAGATGGTGCCAAGTCTGCTGAGTTTTTTCCAGCACTTTTCCTTTTTATTCCAGATCTCCAGAATCCACACTATTTTGCTCTTATTGCATTAATAGAAGGATATGCATTTAATACTCTTACAAACATTCAAACTTCACTATATCTTGTGTACAAAACACAACTTGTGCTACATCTGGCACAATAATGTTGAACCAAGTATACACATGCCCAATTCTATTCTTAGATAATAACTTGATAATTTGAAGTCTATTTCACCAGTTTAATACACGCAAAGCTGAAGGAAATACTAACGGAACACATTAACAACACACAGGATCTATCTGTGCTAGAAAATAAATTGGCTCAGATTCTGAGATAGCAATAATAGTGAAACCATCTGCTCACCATCATTACTCCCCCAAAACTGACAGTAACTTCTGGTGGTTACAGATTACAGTTGGAAATCCTGAAGTTGTTGTCAGGAATTCTACGCTTTCCCATAAGATGGACTATTCAAGTCCCCACAGACTATAATCAAGTAAAAATCAATGAGCTGTCAAAATCTTCGTCTTTTGCACTATTGGTCTCACTGAAAAAAATCCTTAAACGTTACTGCTTGTTGAATGAAGTGCACCTGAACTTTTAACTGCGTGTAATTACTAATTAGTTGCACAGGCCCGGATAATGTGATGTAATATTTGTGGAATGGCAAATTCCTGCATTGTGATAAAAAGTTACATTTTACTTTTACGACTCTTGGAATGGCTGTCAATGTTATTTTAGCTCCTAACTGAAACCCATGTGTACGCGCAACCATTTGTTTTTCTTTCCATTGCATTTTAACTAAAACCAAAAGCATTCAGTGCATTCCATGCCTGTTTTGTTGTCTGTGAGGATACTTCAATATGATTGGTTGCTTACACTGATTGATTATATCACTGTTGCTAGAGGCCCTTTGACTTGGTGGCAAATTCAACATGACATTGAGAAAAGAGAAATCCACTGCAGATAAACTGCTAGATCACTGTAGATAGCTTTCTTTGAAGTCACCATCAAGTGCTGTCAATTTGCAGCTGACCGCAAAATCCGAGTTGTACTTAATAGAACTTTTAAATTTGATTTTTCATGTGAGTTTAGTCAAATATAAAATTAACTGCTACACAAATCCATATGCTGATCCACAAAGATATAAAGACTAAAACAAAACTATTCGCAATCAGATTTATTCAGCATTGCTTTAAAGAAAACGTGGCACGTTTTAAAAACTTTATTGAAATTATATTTTAGCTAAATTTGAAAATTCTAATTTTCTAAATTCTATTTGCCTTAAATTAATTGAAATAAGTTCAGTTTTTGTATCCAGCAAAGTTATTTGATAAGGCTACCAAAATGCTCTGCAACTGATTTTCTTTTTATAAATATCACATTACAATTGTGAAACTATATGTCTGAAGTCGTAAAATACATCTGTAGTTACAAAAAAAACTTTAGATACACTTTTTCAGCATGTATTCTATACAGAGTATATGGGCACCAAAAATGCTATGGACTTTATTGCAGAACAGATTTAAAACATTTAACACAAGACAGATATTCTGCTGAAGTTGGGAGACAAAACAGGTCGGAAGACTAAATATTTTCAGTCTCATTTTTTAAAAAAAATGACTCTAGTCACCAGTTACAGTGATAGATTCAAGTAAAGAATAGACCTAAAGTACTGCAAGTGCTTATTTTTTTGTAAAAGGCTAAAATTGTTAGTAGTCTAATATATTAACATATATCTCACCAAACATGCGCAAAACTAGGGCAGCGGGTTTCATTATCCATATCTTATTCTGTTCACTTAGCAGTTTTAAAAAAATATAAAGCAGTCAATTCAAAGGAAGAAATCAATCATTAGACTATCTGAGGCATACTATTATGGCATAAAAACCTTGCAGAATTAAATAAAATATCGAATGCATTCAATGATAGTGTGAAAGTCAAAGATGTAAATATGACAAGAATTATTTTAAATGATAAATAGAATATTTATACTACATAGCAATTCACCATATTACTGCTATAGATTTAAGGTTTGTACATGTCCATATATATGAGTAAGTGCAAAAGAATGAAATCCTGATGAGAAAGACTTGGATAATGAAATTGCCAATTTGCAATGTGATACTATTAACATGGAGACAAGAATCCATGCACTGTTTTACATACTTGCATTGGTATCTACTTCAGCTCAACAGCATACTAGTTCATACATGTGCATCAACATAGTTAGTAACTCTAAGCAATAAATTGATAAAGTATAACTTTTCTACAGTGCATTAAAGGTGAAAAATATGTACAATGTTAATAACAAACTGAAAATCAATGTGTTATTTGGTTAGAGGCAAGCTGACAAAAAGTTGCAACGCTCAGTAGTAAACCAACAGTGCATCTTACAAAATCTTAGCTCGTACAATTTGTTGCAAGAGTGGAAGATGAGAGTCCTGAAATAGCAAAACAAAAAGAATGCAACAAAGAAATACATTGGTAAAACTATGGGAATTGAGGTACACTTTTAAGCATTAAGTTTAAAAATCTTTAAGTGTCTGCTGCACAGTTTTACAATAACTAGCTGCCATGATACAAACCTATAACAATACTCTGGTAAATTCAATTCACTTTTTAAAAAATTAATGAAACATATTTTGGAGTTTCCAAACCACAATAAATTGCTTAACCTTACTCCATAAAAAGTGTTTTTAAAATTAAAACAATTCATATTTATTACAACAGACAGTACCAAGAATGAGATGGTCCACCAACTACAGGCAACCACTTGATATTATATTAACATTTTAGTGAAACAGACACCCTGATCATGTCTAGAAGGCCTCTTTTGCACTTCATAAAAGTATGCACATGTCTGAACTAGTAAACTACACTACCTAAAAGGACACAATGATTACTCACCAATAAATCTTCTTCCAAGCATTATCAACAAAAAAATTTGCAAACAAAGTGCAATTAGTTGAGATGGAGGATTATTGGGAAGAAAAAATGGTTAAAAAAAATGAGCAAAAACAAAGTCAATGCAGCATAAATGGTTGTGGTGATGAAGAGGAAAGAAAGCTATGTCTTGCTGGAACAAGCTTTGCAATCAGACTGCACTTCAAAAGGTAAATTTCAAAAACAATTCTTTGACAGAATTCCACGTTTTGTTACAGTAAATGTTCATAATGTCAGGAAAAATTACATGCAGCAAAAGTTACTGCAAAGAATGGAAACTAAAATTAAAATTTCAGAAGCATGATGCATGCAGCTATTTAGACCTTTAGACCTTTACACAAATTTCCAAGTAAAGGCATTCATACCTGATTCCCAACAGCCTGCTTCTTGCAAAACTGGCTAGTCCTTTGTTGGGCACTATAGAAAAATAAATGCAAGTTCCAGAGGATGAATATCTAGCAAGATATATGAATCCTTTAGATACCCTCAGAAAAAAAGCATCAACCAATTCACGATTCTGTTTGTATTTTTCAGTATGCCATGCATATAAAGTAGAAAGTAACAGAGAGAAGATGAAGAACTAGGTGTAATGTAAAAATGACCAAGGCTGAATCACAAGTAAACAACAAGTGGTCACGGCTTGCTAATAAAATAAATTGATCTGAGGCATTTATCTTTATTCGTAATGGATACAAGCCGATGGGAGGAATAATTTCGAGCATGAAGTGCAAGAAATTCAGGCTTAATTATCATTCAAAAGGAAAAATGGCTGGTTCTTGATTGAACAGAAAGTGGAAAGGAACTGGGATGGCAATGGTCCAGTGGTATTATCGCTGGACTGTTAACCCAGAGACACAGGTAATGATCCAAGGACCCAGGTTCAAGTCCTACCACGGAGAATGTTGAAATTTGAATTGAATAAAATTCTGGAATTAAGGGTCTAATATGACCATGAAACTATTGCCAACTGTCAGGAAAAACCCATCTGATCCACTAATGTCCTTTAGGGAAGAAAATTGCCATCCTTACATGGTCTGGCCTACATGGGACTCCAGACCCATAGCAATGTGGTTGACTCTTAACTGCCCTGTGGGGACAGGCTGGGTGGATTAGCCATGGGAAATGCAGGTTTACAGGGATATGGTAGGGGTTGGGTCTGGTTGGAATGTTCTTCAGATGGTCAATGTGGACTCAATGGGCCGAATAGCCCATTTATAATTCATCCCCTGACATATGTTCTCCACATTCCAATTAGCAAAAGTGCTCCGAATATCAATCACTCTCTTTGAGAAAAATCGTTTTGCTGTCTGTTCTTATCTTCCTTTTAATTTAAAACCACAACTTTAGTATTCTGGCATACCATGAAAAACAGTTCTACATTAGCCTCATCTCTGCCACTTAGCAGCTTCTATATTTGTCCAAGACGTCTTCTCAGTTGTTTCCTTTGAAGGCAAAGGGACCAAAGTTTCTCAATTTCTTCTTATAACTCAACATTGTGTTAATCACTGTTAATCACTAATCTTTGCACTGCTTTACAGGCTTAATTGTTACTCAATACTGCAGGGGTGAAATAAAACGGAAAGTTGGCCATTGATAAGTATGTTTTTTTAACCTTCAACTTGTCAAAAAATTATATTGACGGTGTACGTTAACCAGACACAATAAAAAGATTTGGGTAATATGCTAAACTATTAGCAAAAGTACGGTTTGTGATTAATACATGAATTTCAAGATATGGGTGGAATCTACAGTTATGGAGTCGAGGCTTGGTAGCAAACGTATAAGTAAACGCTACTTTCACTCTGGGACAGGTCAGCTTTTCTTGTGCAATTGCTCAGTTCCCAGTTCATTCCATACGTATGTGTAAGCAGCTCAGCAGATCTTGTAGTGTGAGCAAGCAGGAAAGGACCTGGTGGCATACTGAAAGCGCACTCAGAGTGGCTCTTAGTCCCTGCAAGTGAAGAGCATCACTCTGGCTCTAGGAATAAATGCCTGCAGCTAAATATTCTGGCCTGAGCACCCCCTCCCTCATCTGAATGCCTCAGACAGACCTCCACCCTTGGCAGGGCAGCCTTTCTACTTGGGCCAGATTCCTTGATCCATGCCCATTGCTCTCCAGCCTCCCTTTTCTGGCCTTCGTGCAACTTATTTAACTGCCATCTGATGTCCATCATGGCATGGCATAGCTGAAAGATCCCCAAAAAGGATAAAGCAGCAGCTACTTCTTCCAAAGTCCAGCAAGCTACCCCACCTGCTGCCTGCCTCCCATGTGTAGTTGTGAATTGGAAGACGCATACTGCTTGCTTGCTGAGAACTCAATTGGGAAGAGGAATTTAATTCTGGCAAGCTGGCCTTTCAACAGTATGAATGGAACGCAAAAGGGCATCCTGACACTTGCTGTCAGAAAGCTCAACCCTCTTTCAAGTTCCAAGAACTTAATTGCAAACTCTCTCACTGCTGTTGGGTAGCTGATTTTTTACTTTTCATGCAATTAAATTCTGCCACCCTTTCTGCGCTCTGCTCCCAGAAGAAGCACAAATTTCTGCCCTATGATATATCCCACTGCCAATGTTTACATGGTGGGAGCCTGCAATGATTTAGTTATGAAATTTATGAACACCTTTGTTTAATTTGTAAATTAAGTTCATTATTAAAAGACTAATGGGATACCTACTTTGCAAATCCGATGAAATCTTCGTGGTTAGTGTTGATATAAGACAGCTGGATATCAATCAGTAATACAACCTAAAAAAGGCAAGGACAAAACTTTCAAAGCTGTAATCTTCAATGATACCATCTCCCTCAGTTCTCCAGCCATCTAAATACGTGAACAGCAAAAACTTTACCACAGCTTCTGTCAAGTATGACTCATCTTTCTGGTAAGAATATTATTAAACATTAGTGTAATTCTTTCAGTTTGACCTTTCTTGAGACATCTAATTATGAATGTTAAGGATGAAACGGGTCAGAACGTTGGAATCGTAGAGATTACTGGGGCATAATAATGTGAAATTGATTCTTTAACACTCACTGAATAGAAAACCTTAATAAATAGGAACAGGTCATTTAGCTTGTCCTGTCTGTAATGTATCATGACCTCTGATGATACTACTGGACAAGTCAGATCTCAGAAACCTGGCTTGATAGATCATATGCTTTTCTTTTGCTTACTTAGTTAACAGTAGTCCCTGAGAGATGTTCACCCGAGGTTGCAGACTTAATTTAAAAACAAAAAATAAATTTATTTTACATAAAAGAAGTAAATCAAACAAACCAAGCTGCCTAAATATATACGACAGTTGGAATGATCTCAAAACACACAGCAAAGCGAAATTTCAACCTGTTTCCTGACACTATCCATTAAAGTGACTCAAGCGCTAAGAAATTACACACCTAGTTTAACTCTTTAAGGTTTTACTTCACTGTCTCCTGACAGTTTCCTTGTCCTGGACCGTGGAGACAATTTGATAAGGCCTTTGCAAATCTGACGACATGAACTTTTCGCAATTTTTATTTCTAATAACCTGCAGAGTTTGAATCATTCTCCTGATTTGGAAATGTCACAAACTGAACTCTCCTTGCTAAGGGGATTTGTTCCTTAAATTGCCCTGAATCTTTATTCTAGGAGAGAAACTATACTTGCTTCCACACTCAACAGTGGTGTCTTATGAATCAAGCGAATTTTTAAAAAAATGCGCATCTTAGGTTCTTTTGAGCTGAAAGCAAAACCAATGGCCTTCTTTGCTTACTTTACCTGTATTAAATGCAACAGTAAAACATCTTTCCACTAACACCACAGGGGTCAGCAGTCACCTGCTAATCCATTTTTATACATAAAGGAGAACGCAAATGGGACTAACCAACACCCACCTGCCTTTATTTTTAAATCTAAATTCCAAGAATGATATTAATATATATAAATCACACACCTGTCATCAGGATCTCCTCTGTTTCGAAGGAAAAAACCTACCCTATTCAATCTGTCTTCTTAGCTAAAAATATTAATTTTTAGCCATATCATCTAAATCTCCTCTGCACAAATCTGTTGTATTGTGGCAAATATAACTGTATACAGTAAACTAGCACCTAAGTACCATGCTTTGACCACAAAAATAAAAGTATTTTACATGCACTCTTCATCACCCTTATCTACTTGTCCTGGTATTAGTAGGTAGGTATAAACACCATGAACCCCATGTTCCCTAAGACTTTACAGAATTCTATCATTGTATAATTCCTTTGATTGTATCAACTTCAAAAATATGTTACCTCGCAATTCTCTAAATTGAACTACATTTGCCGGTTTTCTGCCTATTGACCCATCTATTGATATCTCTATGCAGTCTGCAGCTTTCTTCCTCACTCTTAACCATCAAGCCAATTTTTATATCCTGCATACACTACTTAATCACACCTCCTGCATGCAAGTCCAGGCACCCAATACTAGAGATAACAAGGTGTAGAGCTGGATGAACACAGCAGGCCAGGCAGCATCAGAGCAAGAAAGCTGACGTTTCGGGTCTGGACCCTTCTTCAGAAAAATCACCCAATACTAAGTATTTTATGACATGATAAGGAATAAGAGGAGTAGGAGGCCATTCTGCCCCTTGTGCCTGACCTGGTTGTTACTGGTTGGGCCAACATTTATTGTCCATCACTAGTTGCCCTTGAGAAGATGATAGTTAGCTGTGTTCTTGAACCACCGTCGCCCACATGCTATAGGTACATCCACAGTGCTATAAGAGAAGGATTTTAACCCAGCAACACCAAAGGAATAGTGATATATTTCCAAGATTTTGACTCAAATCCACATTTCTTCTTGCTCCCTCATGGCTCCTTTAAAGATTAAAAATAGAGTGTCTAATTCAGCCTTGAATATATTCAGTGAACCAGCCTTCATTGGGATAGAGAATTCCATGGATTAGTGGCTTTCTGAGAGAAGAAATTCCTCCTTATTTCTGTCTTAAATGAGAGATCTCCTATTCCAACGTTGTGACCCTTAATTCTAGACTCCCTCAGGACAGATAACATTAGTATCTATCCTGTGAAGCCCTGTGTTTCCATAAGATCACTATTCATTCACCTCAACTTCAATGAGCCTAGTGTCCTGAAGAAGTACTATCTAATATATTAATTGAGAATGTTATCAGCTGAATATAGATATATATCAGCACACATTATGGAATTTTGAAGAGAAACTTTTCAGAGCAAAGGACACTTAATGACAGGAGTTAAAATGGTGCATTTGTGAAGGACATGAACTTCTTTTTCAGAGATGCAATGGCTCCAAAGCTCTCAGAAAGGTCACATGACCCAGCTTTTGGGGTAAACTACCTTTTTGTAATGAAAATGTCAGGAATCCCACGTGTGGCCATTAAATGGCCAGCTGCCTCCAGTGAAGTCAGATTTTGGACTCCCTGGTATCTGCAGCCCACAATGTTGAGACTGGACCAGGTAAGAACATGTCTGTTCTAGGAGAATTGGTTTCAGAAAGCCAGAGTGTCCCACTGGAGTGGTCAGACATCCCAGTACAGTTTGAGAGTCAAGCTCACGGGTCCGTTGGTATTTCGGCATTAGATTTCCTTTGGAGATGGGGATCCAGTGCCCTTTCAGACAGTTAACTGTACAGAGCACTGTGTTATTAAAAAAAAGTGCATTAACCTTTGGAACTGTCCGATCTGCCAAGTAGTGTCAACAAGGTTCAATCTGTCAAGAAGTGCCAAAATATATCAACTAACATCAACAAGTGTCAAAATGCATGCATATGAATGAGTGCTTTTCTCCATAGAGTGCAGATTGCAATGTAGAAATTTAAGAAATAAATTTTCTCATGTTTGCGTAGATACTTATGATTATTCAATGAGTTGGCTTGTTAGGTGAAAAGGGAAAGAGTGGCAGGTGAAAGTTGGCACTAAGCTAGCATAGGGGTGTCCAGTCTATAAGAAAATCAAAATTGACCACAATTTTGCAGTACCTTTCTTCCTTGACTTATGCACTTCTTTACAGTATAGCCACAGTTACAGTGCTATAAACTATTTCCACAAATGGAGTTATTTCTTATCTCCTTCCAAACTGATTCTAAATCTTGACCTTCAGAACCATAGTAATTTCTTTATTGATCTCATCCTATATTAACAGAGCTACCTATTCAGTTCCAGTCTTGGCCATTTCATAATCACAACTTTGTAATGACTATTTTTATAACCGCAGCAAATAGCATTTCAGTCACAAAAATATTCATTAATCATTACTCTTTGTTTCTTGCCATTGAACTAATCTTGGATCAAAATTGCCATTTCCCTCAGATTCCACGGCTCTTTAATTTTGCTGACCAGTCAGTCCTTGTGAAAAACCTCACTTAATGTTATGGGGATGATATCAAAGGTAGTACCTCCTTAAAATTTCAAACTAGCTAAACATATCTCAACAAATCTCCGATACCATCCTTGAGAAAGCTGTGCATTCCTAAATGATTATTCACCATTGCTCCTTAAATTTTTTTTCAGTAATTTGCCCATCATTGAAGTTAGGGTGACTGGCTTGTATTTACCAGGACTATCCTTTTGTCTTTTTAAAAATGGTATCTTGTATTATTTTTTGATAATTTTGAAAAAAAAAGTTAATTGCTAACCTGGTTCTTTGTCCTCTCCTCTCTTTCTCGTATGTAGCTGGAAACGATTCTCTCCGTCTCCTCTCGCAGTTTTGGGTACCGACCCAGCTGTAAAAAGCAGGAAAGCTTTCTTTTATTTCAACTTCTGAAGTGAATTTTTACCCACCTCTTGCTATCAGACATCTTAAGCTTTTTAACAACAGGTTCACAGTACTCATTGAATTCCATGTAATTCCACACAAAGCCAATTATTCACAACAGCAAGTGAAACATGATTACATTCTCATGGGTAAGCTATGTTGACATTACTAAAACAAAGCATACCATAACATTCTTAATAAAGGAAGTTTCTCACAAATCCATTGTCAAAAAATTTATTTTGTACAGCCAGAAATGATTCAGCTCAGTTAAGAGCTAATTGATGGTCAAAATCTCTTCTAAGTTTTCAAACAGTGAGAACATTTAGACTAAATTTAAATTTTTATCTTCATGCACAATACAGAATCAGATGTTTCTCCTTAAATACAGGCCTGCTGGTCCCAAATGTTACCAGACTTTTATGATAATCATTATATCATACATTAGGCATTCTGTTGATTTTAATTTGTTTAGGACGTATGATATTGAAGCAACAAATATTGTTACAGTTATACTAAGTTGCAAAATCTGAAGGTGACCGGATTTTTCAGCACATACAATGAGCTGACATTTAAAATAAAAGCGGTTATGTTGACATTTAAATTATTTTAAGTTTATTTCTGCTTTCCCTTGATATCTTTCTGTGGTTGCTACTTATTGCAGGATGGATGGCTAGGAATTGTGTAAATAGTTTATATATGTGCCATAAATATAATTAGATTTTATGACAATAAATATTAGCTGGATGAAATAATACATGAGGAAGGGTCTTGACCCGAAACATCGGCTTTCCTGCTCCTCTGATGCTGCTTGGCCTGCTGTGTTCATCCAGCTCTACACCTTGTTATCTATGTATGGAAAACTAATCTTTGGAACCTGAAAAACAATGTTGCCTGACTTGAGACTTTTAGACAGCTACTCAAGTTCTTATCATGGGCATCCTATAAACCAGGAGGAGCTCAGTGACTGCCATTTTCACAATAAATGGCTGATCACTGATGAAAGAATCCCTTTAAGAAATCAGAGGGTAGCACTGAGGAAGGTTTGTGGTGCATGAACTCATTACTAATCAACCAAATTTAAATGTCATTAATGAAAGAACTGTACTTGTCAGTGGGAATTGGTGAATCATTAATCTTTACTATTTAAATTTGACATTAACCATGTAGTACATATTAATCGGCTAAATTATGACTGATGGTACACAGTCAGACTAGTAAATGGAAGCTGTTAAATAATATATGAAAGACCATTGTCATTTTGACTGCCAAATTCTGCTTCCATATTCAATGCTGGCACATACCTTTTGTACCATATGAGTGATAATGCAAACTGTGTTTCAAAATACTGCATGAGATACTTGACAGATGTACAAGATGGTTAGATATTTGAAGAGTAATGATGACATTACATCTTGAGTGAAGCCTGAGACAGTTACTGATGTTAGCTGAAACTGCAGGCAAGAAAATCCTAGTTTCAAAGAAGAATTATCACCAAACCACAGACAGTGCATTCCCATGCAACTGAACCCAAGGAAATAACAAGTACTTTAATAAGAGGTGGGAGGGAAAAGTTAGCAGAGAAACCCCACTGTACTCCATTTGCAAAAAAAGAAAGCAAATGCTAGGTAGGGCTGTTGGTGTCAAGGGATGAGGTTAAACAACAAACAAAGAACAAAGAAAATTACAGCACAGGAACAGGCCCTTCGGCCCTCCAAGCCTGCGCCGATCCAGATCCTCTATCTAAGCCTGTCACCTATTTTCCAAGGATCTGTATCCCTCTGCTCCCTGCCCATTCATGTATCTATCCAGAAACATCTTAAATGACGCTATCGTACCCGCCTCTACCACCTCCGCTGGCAACGCGTTCCAGGCACCCACCACCCTCTGCGTAAAGAACTTTCCACGCATATCTCCCTTAAACATTTCCCCTCTCACCTTGAAATCGTGACCCCTAGTAATTGAGTCCCCCACTCTGGGAAAAAGCTTCTTGCTATCCACCCTGTCTATACCTCATGATTTTGTAGACCTCAATCAGGTCCCCCCTCAACCTCCGTCTTTCTAATGTAAATAATCCTAATCTACTCAACTTCTCTTCATAGCTAGCACCCTCCATACCAGGCAACATCCTGGTGAACCTCCTCTGCACCCTCTCCAAAGCATCCACATCCTTTTGGTAATGTGACAACCAGAGCTGTACGCAGTATTCCAAACGTGGTTGAACCAAAGTCCTATACAACTGTAACATGACCTGTCAACTCTTGTACTCAATACGCCGTCCGATGAATGAAAGCATGCCGTATGCCTTCTTGACCACTCCATCAACCTGTATTGCCACCTTCGGGGTACAATGGACCTGAACACCCTGATCTCTCTGTGCATCAATTTTCCCCAGGGCTTTTCCATTTACCGTATGTTTCGCTCTTGAATTGGATCTTTCAAAATGCATCACCTCGCAGTTGCCTGGATTGAACTCCATCTGCCATTTCTCCGCCCAACTCTCCAATCTATCTATATTCTGCTGCATTCTCTGACAGTCCCCTTCACTACCTGCTACTCCACCAATCTTAGTGTCATCTGCAAACTTGCTAATCAGACCATCTATACCTTCCTCCAGATCATTTATGTATATCACAAATAACAGTGGTCCCAACACGGATCCCTATGGAACACCCACAATGATGTTAGGGAGGGAGCTGCAGGATTTTAATCCAGTGATAGTGAAGGAATGGCAATACAGTTCCCAGTTAGGATGGCGTATGGTTTGGAGAGAAATTTATAGTCGGTGTTCCTTTCCAAGCTGCTGTCCTTATCCTTCTAGGTGACAGAGGTTGTGAATTTACTGCAAAAGGATTTGTGGAGAGGGAGTGCAATGTACCTTGAAGGTGGTACACACTGCTACCACTGTGCATTGGTGGGTGAGGGAGTAAATGTAGAACATGGTGGGTATGGTGCATCTAGCAGGCTGCTTTGCCTGGATGATGAAAAACTTGAGTTTTGTTGCAACTGCACCCATCCAGGCAAGTGGAGAATATTCAATCACACCTCTACCTTGTGGCTAATAGATGGTGGAGATGTGCTGAGGGTTAATGAGGTGAGTGACCCGCTGCAGAATTCCTGGTGTATGATCTACCTTAACAACAACAACATTCATATGGCCATTCCAATTCAGACTGTACTAAATACTCACCCTCAAGATGTTCTCGATGGGGATTCAGAAATGATAATGCCATTGAATGCCAAAGAACCACAGTTAAATCATGACTTGTTGGAGATCGTCATTTTGCCTGGCATTTGTAATGGCATGAATGTTACTTGCCGTTCCTCAGCCCAAACCTGGATGTTACCCAGTTTTTGCTGCACATGAGCATGAATTGGTTCAGAGCCTACTTCAGCATGAGGAGTCATAAATGGTGCTGAATAGAGTCACAGAGGTATACAGCACAGAAAAAGACCCTTCAGCCCAACTCATTTGTGTCGACCAGGTTTCTTAAACTGAACTAGTCCCATTTGCCTGCATTTGGCCCATATCGCTCTGAGCTTTTCCTAACCATGTACCTATCCAAATGTTTTTTAAATGTTGTAATTGTGCTCACCTCCAACATTTCCTCTGACAGCTGTTCCATATACGCACCAACCTCTGTGTGAAAAAGTTGCCCCTCAGGTCCCTTTTAAATCTCTTCCCTCTCACCTTAAACCTATGCCCTCTAGTTCTGGACTCCCCGACCCTGGGAAAAAGACTTGGCTACTCACCTTATCTATAGCCAAGATCTTTTCCCCAGAGTAGGATACTGTGCAATCATCCATGGACGTCCTAACTTCTGAACCTTATAATGGGCAGAAAATTCATAGATGAAGCAGCTATACATAATTGGACCAAAGGCACAACCCTGAGGAACACTTGCAGTGATATGTTACAGTAATATGCATTTATGTAGCCTTGTACAGTAGCTTTATTCAGTTACTCACTTTAAGGCAGCCCCAACTGCTTGAATAATGAGGGAAATGAGCAATATACCAGGCTATAAGATTATAGATTGTGGTGGTATACAACCTATCAAAGGTGACAGCCTTAAGTCCCTCTTGAATGCCAAGATTTGAGGTGCACAACCTGTACTTAACTCATGCTTAGCATGCTGGTAGTGAAATTTTGCCACAAAAGCTGTCCTCATTGTGGAGACAAGTTATAAGGCCTGTGCAATAGTTACTCTTTCTGATGTTGTCATTGACAACAATAATGTTAAGTTGAAAATTTAAAGATGGTCAGAAATTTTCAGGACAATTTCATGGCATTGGACCACTAATTACAAGATTTATTTGGTTCACTTTCATATCTTGGCTAAACTAAAGTTGTTCTTATTGACAATTTGGCATGATACCACAAGATGGGGTAAACCAAGAACCCAGGCTTCTGCCTTGTCAGCATTTCATATTTAGTTAATGAGTCACCACAGAGAGCAAGTTTTTGAAGAGGGTACTGCTTTCCAAGTGAGCTATAATACCAATAAATAACATGCTGTATATTTCCTCACCCACTATTATATTTACCATTTTTGGTTCTCCAAAATAACACTATGACGTTGGCAGCATGAAAGTAGAAAAAGGGGTCATATTTTCTTGTGGGCTCAGGAAACCTGATCCGTGCACTTCTGTACAATCTGAAATGCACACTGGATCTATGTGTGACTTTTCCAGGCACTTTTTTTTTGTAACTCAGGCGTTGAGTTTACAGTGCATTTTGCAAGCCACAATGGAGTGAAGTGTGGGTGGGAAGGCAAGCTGGTTAGAAGGTAGGCAAACAGGAGGCTGCAAGAACACAGCAAGACAGGTAGCATCTGGAGGAAAGGAAAAGTCAACATTTCGGGTATTACACTTCTTCAGGACTTCTCCTTTCCTCCAGATGCTGCTTGTCTTGCTGTGTTCTTGCAGCCTCTTGTTTGTTTACCTTGGATTCCAGCATCTGCAGTTTTTTCTGTCTCGAGGCTGGTTAGAAGGCCCACTTCAATTCTCCAACATGGCAGACCAGCGCCCATTGCTTGAAGGCCCACTAAACCACACCCAACACACTCCACTTATTCTCCATGCCCCTGCAAATCACCCCGTCACTCCAAGCCTCCTTCAGATCACCTCATGTTTGCTCTACGCCCACAATGTAACCTCCATAGTTACTTACACAGTCTTCACCATGCAGGCTCCTCAGGAACCATGTGATAGCTTTGTGTATTACTTTTACATCATTTGAAGAAGTTTAACCTCCGCCAAACCAATAAAAACCTGAATTCAACCATACTATCATTGACAGCAGTAAAAAAAATTCTTCTCATGTAAAAGAAAGTAATCCTTTAAAGCCTACTACATTTGGAAACAAACAATAAGTCACATGAAAGTCATATTCTTTGCTGTAATTTCTTACATGTGTTAAAACTTCATCTGCTGAGTTGAAGCTAATAGCAGTAGCAATGGTTACTGTCGTAATAGAAGCTGAAACAGAACAGAATAGTGCTCCATTGGCATTTCAAAGCAGAGTGCCCATTGGTCAATGAAGAGGAGCAGATGCTGACAGATTTTTTCAACTTTCAAAGCAGAGCGTTAACAATCACAGCTGTCAATTGAAATCTCAGCACAAAATATGACAGCAGAAGCTGACGGAACTTTTTAACTGACAGTTTTAAGGCATTCCTGCGTCAATCAAAAAGGCACAAAAATACATGATAAAACTCACATAATGGTGAAAAAAAAAGGTACAGTAAGAATCACTACATTTAAAACACATCCGCATTACAATAGAGCAACATTGACAATTGAAGAGTTCTGAGGAAGGGTCACCGGATCCGAAATGTTAATTCCGACTTTTCTTCACAGATGCTGCCAGACCTGCTGAGCTTTTCCAGCACCTTGTTTTTGTGCCTGATTTACAGTATCTACAGATCTTTCAGTTTTTGTTTTGAAGGTGTCAAAACCTTTCAGAATGCTTCCCACTCTTCAGCGGGTTTCCTCCTGGGATCACAAACTCTCCAAGGAAGTGCGTTTCTTTTGGGCTTCCAAAATATACAGCAACACACAAAATAGTGTGTAGAGGACGGACAATTTTATGTCCCTCTCACAACTCCATGACCTCAGAAGCAATGCATGTACATTTTGTACCTAGGATCATAACTTTCTGCAAAAAAATTTGTGAGGATGAGAAGCCACAAGACAAGCTTTTTGCATTGAAAGAAGTTTTGCATGACCCAATCTGCACCTTCACTGAAAGACAAAAATTTTGATCTTTAATATTCTTTTACTTGGAGAATTAGTAGGGCTTTCAAAAGAAGCAGTGTATTTTGAAAAGTTGCTTATATATTAGGTCAAAATGCAATACATGCACAGCTTCCTTGCTTCAACATGCAGTCTCATGGATACCCTGCATGCAGAAAGGTAGCACTCACAGAAAAACTACTGTTATGCTCACAGACTGCAGAAGCAATGAATTTGATTTGCACTTTTCTAATGCAGACGACATTAAATTGTAAGTGAATAGCAGATAGTGAATAGCCTTGTATAGAAAAGGTACGTTCAGCGCCTTAGAAACTGCCCAAAAAATATAACCTGCAACAAGGCATACAAATCTTCTTTCACATTTACCTTAAAGTTTGGAAATAAGAAATTTCCACAGATGCAATGAAAATGTTATATCTGTAACTAAAATAATGTCGCTTGACTATTAGTTTACTTGACAACCTTTGGAGTCACTGTTAACACTCCCAGATAAGTGTGGGAAAGATCAGTCCAATTAGCATAGCAATGAAACTGACAGTATCTGAAAGACTAGAAGTGGTCACAGATAGCCACAAGAAAACACAAGACAAACATTAATAGTGCTGAACAATAACATTAGAAAAACTCAAATAATACTTTGATTTGCGTGTGTGTCAGTTGAGCATGATTGATTGTATTTAATTACTTAATTATAGTGCCTGTGACTAATAAATATTTCAATCAAATGTCAAATGAGGTTATACCTGTCCACAATATTAATAATTAAATAGAAATCAAAAACTTTAGAAAATTATTAGCTGAATGCTAAGTATTCTGCCAGTAAGATGTCTGATGACTTGTCGTGTGATAACATCAACAAACAGTATAGCATTCGGTAGGAAGATTCACAGCATGTGATAGAAAATGAACTCTCTCAATTTGGAAAAAGGTAGTGAAATGCAAACAGTTTCATTCAACATAACTTTGCATTAATCTCATTGTTCTCAAAAATAACTACTATAATTTAGTTTAATTGTATTGAGTTATTATACAATGGCTAGGCTGTGAGGTAAAACACAAGACAATATTAATATCTGGATGTTGTGACACAACCCACAAACGTAAAATATTGAACTTCGACATTTAGCATTAATCCAAATTCACTGATTAGTAAACTTGGATATTTAATATATAAGAAAATTGATATTCCATTTCCCGATCAGACATTCTTGATTGCTAGCATCAAGCTCTCCATGAGCAGTTATGACTCTCGTATAATGTTACTGGACATAAGGATATGTATTTTTTTGAATGTTAGAGTATTTGTTTTAACAATATAAAAAAATGAAAAATCAAAGTTGTGCAATTTTAATTTTGTTACCTTACAACTACACTGTCTAACTGTATGTATTAATTCTTGGATAACCAAATCCACACACTTCAGGCAAGGCTCCTTGAGTTTCACAATCTGTTTCTTCACAATAGCTTCAAAGGCCATGTCAGGGGTAAATAAACCTGGTCTGTAAATATTAAAGACAAACACAAATATCAATCTTGACACAAATGGCACTAAAAATGACATTGCACATTAATCATCTAATAAAACATGCATACTTCCAAAGCAATCCTTGAAATTATTTGTAGAATATAACTCTTACAACACTGAGAAAAAGCAGAATAACTGTAAGAGAAAATTAAACCCTCAAAATAGGTAACCCAAGCTAAATAAAGTCAGACCTAAACAAAAAGTTCAAATATCAGCCACATAATATAATTGTGATAGAAATCTTAATATACTTGACTGCATTTGTTATGATCTTATGGGAGATCAGTAACTTTTAAAATGAAATTCAAACTTTCAGTGATTAAAGAAACATACCACAATATTTTAACCAAATCCTTTTACTGTACAAGAAAAGTAAGGGTGACTGAATTAACACAATATTTTATAAACACTTATTCTATAAGCATTAGAGTCTCAAAAGGACATTCCTGGTTCTACTTCCATTTCCACTCAAGTTCTCCCCTATACATCACAAGATCTTTGAGGCTCCCTCAATTCTTCTAAGACCCAACAACAGCTCCCAGGTATTCACTTTGAATTGCCTCAGTATTCCTACCATTCTCGGAGGTATAGGATTTCTTGAGATCCTTTCACTAGCATCCAGTTGACCCTCCACCTCAGCTTAAGTACTTCATGATTGTGGACACTCCAGCTCTAGCAGGGGTCTCAATGCTTTCTTGCTCAATGGCCAGAAAACATCTCTGGTTTCAAACTACTCTTCGCTACTGCCTACAATTTCTGACAAATTCTTCTTTTGTTTCTAAAAGGTGCTCCTATGTTCTAAATGCCTGTTTCTGTGAGAAATCACACAGATAAAATCGACAGATAAAACCTCCCTGTAATGTATCCCATGGCAACATGCATGTCTAGAATGCACCAGATAGAGATGTAAGCAAAGTTACCTCTCCTTCAATAAATCATTTTGTTTCTGGAATTCACATGAATAATTTGTATCTCTAATAAAGACAACTGTCATCTCCACCAATAAACTTAAATAGTGGTCTCCCACTGCATTGTATTTTTGCACTTCCAGCTGTGACCTTATTAAATAAGCATAGGCCACTTTTTGAATTGCAATCACATTAGATCAGGTTACTAATTCATTACCAGATTGTCTTGCATTTAACATTTCAAACTGCAAATCAAAATCTATACTCTTAAAACAGGTGAATCATGAAATTAGACATCTTATTTGCAGCAAACATTATGCAACTGCTTTACCTCCAGAGAACATGTTTGACTTTTTTTCAATCTGACAAGACAGGTTAATGATTACCTGTGTATTTGAAAGCTATGAATAAACACTGGAAACTGATTACAAAAAAAAAATTCATTCAAATGTGAACAGTGTTCCTACTTAAACTAGGACACAGTATACCTTCTATTCCAAAGTTAGAAAAGTAAAATAATACACTGCAATCAATTCTGTTGACCTGGAAAATAAGTCTGTGTAGCGCACTTAAAAATAATAATTATAAAATGTAAAGAAATTCATTGCAGCAAGGAAGCCTTTGGATAATTTCTCATTACTGATGCTGTTCCAATCAATCAACTGGGTTTAGCATGTATTTTTTTTTCAAATAACATCATCCACTCATAAAAAAGACTGGGTCAAAAGGATAATCACATGAAACGATTTGTTTTTAAACCATTTTAGCCAAAACAACGAGATAACAGTGAACATACCAGCATTGGAATTAATTTAATCATTTAATTCTTTTCAATAGCTGTTGTCCCATGGTCATGGTCATTTCAATCACGAGCAAAGAAGGAACTATGTGTGAACTTTTTTTAAAACAGAAGACTTTTGTTACAGAAAGCTACATTCTGTAATTACGAAATTACATTCTAATATTAAATGTCTTAATCCTGAAATACAATTCACAGAAGAGTTACAGAATTGTAAATATTTCAATTCATCATATGCTTGACCGATAACAATGTGACACACCACTACCTAAGACAGGTGGTGAGATTGGTAGAGATAATGACGAAGCCAAAACCTTCTCAGAAAATAATGCTGCAAAATTTGGTTGTGCAGCACGTGCATTATCAATGGTTTGATTGCTACTTTGGGTTTAAAAGAGCATTTTGCACCACAGGTAAGGACAACACTAGGTGATTGTTTAAGTAGGTCATCAGTGAGACACTGAAACAGTGTCCTGGAAATATGCAGAACCAGAAATCATGACTCCCTGCATTGTACAACATTCAACACTTATCTAGTAATGTCTGAAGGAATGCCTGAAACCTAATTGAATAGGGGAACAGACGATGTTAAAGATTAAAGTCAAAATCCTGCATGTACAGGAAATGTGAAACAAACACAGAGAATGATGGAGAAACTCAGCAGGTCCAGCAGCATCTGTGGAGAGGGAAATACAGTTCACATTTCAAGACCAGTATGACTCTTGTTCAGAACTGAAAGGTTTCAGAAATTTTCAAAACAATTTTGACAGAGATAAAGAGCACTGCAAGAAACAAAGACGTTATTAACAGTGGAGAAAGTTTAAAAAGGAGCGTAAATTAAGGTGTGAAAGGGAGAGAATTGATTGTCTATTTTAAGAGCAAAGTAAAAAAAGACACAAACCAGACAAGGCTATGGGGATGGTGTGAAGAGAGGGACAATGTAAGAAAAATAGAGAACAGATGTAATGTGGTCAGTCTCTGAAATTATTGAATTCAGTATTGAGACCACGAGGCTGTAAAATGCTTAAGTAGAAAATGAAGTACTGTTCCTTGAGCTTGCGTTGTGCTTCATTAGAACATTGCAACAGGCCCAGGACAGAAATTTTAGCATGACAGCAAGATGGTTTATTGAAATGGCAAGCAACTGGGAGGTCAGGGTCATTACCGCTGACAGAGCAGAGGTGTGTCACAAAGCAATCAGCCAGTCTGTGTTAATGAACCATTGTCATTTCTAGTAATCAATGGGGGTGCATTTTATGGAGTGTGGTTAACTACAATAAAGCTCATACTAAAAGTGTGCACTCAGGCTCTGCTTAAATACAGTCACCTTCTACTGTATAACAAAGGGCATTCCTCCAACATTATTTAAAAGGGATCAGCAACAATTTTCAAGTTAATTGCTAATTGACTTCTGCTTCTGGTTGCGGAGTTAGAAAATTGGAGGTTTGTATAGTTCTTTTAAATCAGTGCTGTGGCACATAATGAAGCCTTGGTTTTCACTCCACTGGTGACGTAGAAAATGCTTGCTCCCAGTCACAGGCATTACTGTTTCTACTCTCATTTAGCCTCTGAGGTAGTCATGAAAACTGCTACCTGAAAACAGAACAAAGATGTCATTGTCAGCGCACATTAACTGGCTGTGAACACCTCCATATTGGGCTCCTTTTACACTGCAACAGGAGCATCTCCAAAATTTGGCAGTTTGCTGTTCACTCATGTGTAACTTCAGTCTGCAAAGCGAAGGGAAATGCATTGCACTTTCTCCTTTCAGAGAGAAACAGGTAGAGCAATCATTTGGCTTTACCAGGGTAACAGACTTTCCCATGACACAGGGGTTTCATTGAGTATGCACATGTATCTGTGCAGGTACAGAGGTAAGTTCAGAGATGAAGTGCAACCTCAAAGGTCTTCAATCCCACAATGTCCAGTTTGTGCGTGATCATGAAGGTCAATGCCCAGTAACTTGGCAGCAATCATAATGTCTTTATTCTGCACCAGCCTGATGCTGCATCAGCATTTCAGATACCAGGAGAAAGAAAAGAGGACAACAAATGCTGGAGATCACAGCGGGTCAGGCAGCATCTGTGGAGAGAGACCAAGCTAACTTTTCCAGTCTAGATGACTCTTCATCCCTTCACTTCAGCTCTGATGGCCCGCGAAAGAAAAAAGAGAAGTTAGATAACAGGAGCTATGCACTGACGACCTGGTTTATGGTCACAGTGCACAATGCAAGTACGTGAGGGCAGCATGCATATGACAAGAAACTGGCTGCCACATAAATGCAATGAGCTTGTAATCGTGTTGGTGAAGCAGCACTTCCGTGTTTTGAACCACTCCAGAGGAAGCGCCATTTATCATCACGGCATTGGACTAGTTGCCCAGAGATCCAAGATTTTGCAAGTCCTTCTCCAGTATGCACAGTCAATAGCGCAACTAGCACTGACTGCATGATATAACCATGGTTATATGTGCAGGCAGCATGAAGTTTGGGTGCTGTTTATTTTGGAAGGAATGGGTGTAAGTGATTAGCTCATCACAATCCCCTTCTTGATTTACACGCCTCACTGAATTTTGCAGCATTAGCTTTTGGGGCAGAGAAAAAGAGAGAGCTGGGCTCTAGATCAATGAGAGCAGAAACACAGGTTATTAAGAGGTGAATTTCTGGAAGGATGAAATTGAGAAGTTCTGTTAAGCTTGTACAGAATCTGGATTAGGTTACACATGAAATAGTGTGGACAGTTCAGATATCTAGATATAAAAAGGATATTGAGCCACATGAGAAGGTGCAAAAAAAGAGGAAGGGCCACTGAACCCGAAAAGTAAACTCTGATTTCTCTCCACAGACACTGTCAGACCTGCTGAGCTTTTCCAGCAATTTCTGTTTTTGTTTACAAGAACAATTTACTGGATTTATACCAGAACTGAAAGGTTTTAACTGCCTGGAAAGAGTGAATAAACATGGTTATCTTTTCTCTAGAAAACAGAAGGCTGAGGATGGCCTCATCGAGGTTTTTAAAATTATGAAATGATTTAATAGAATAAAAGTAGAGTAATCTCAGAAGCAGGAACAACCTGAACTTTCGCTGTAAACAGAAGATGGTCATTTATAAATCTAATAGGGAATTAAGCAGCAACCTCTTCACTCAGAGTGGTTAGAATGTGGAATACACTACCACAGGGCGTAGCTGACATGAGCTGATGTAAGCACAAGAGAGAAATGAATAAAAGGACAGGATTACACATAAAAGAAAAGGAGGTTGATGTGAAGCGTAAATATCAGCAGAGAACTACTGGGCTGAATGCCCTATTTCTGTCCTGCAATGTACTATGTTATTTTAGCATGCAACCTGAGAGGTTTCTTCCAAAGTAATGCTTCTCATATAATACGTGTGTTCCAATGTTAATTGTAAAAGCTGTAAAGAATACAAGCGAAGAAAGCGTGGACTTCTTTTCTTTACCAGATCAATATTACTAGTATTATTTTTCTAAGTTACTACAGATTTAGAACATAGGATTAAAAATAACAGGATATTTGTGGTGCAAGTATATTTTCTCTTCTGTTTAAGCAGTTAAAATACATAACGTTTTTGGAACATGTTCAATAATATTCCTCAAAATTAACTTGCCTGATACCATGGATGTTCTTAATAGCATAGCTAATTTCTCTCCGTAGTTCCTTTTCGTCAAATTCCATCTACAAAATTGAAATAATATAGAATTCCACATCAGAAAGTGAAAAACAGTGACATCAGAAGACATCTTACGGAATGAAAAGAAAATAAAGTTGCTGTCTCTTCATTTTGAGCTTGGAAGCTATAAAAATGCACATATCATGGTCACTAGTTCTGATCTTTGAAACAATAAATCAAAAATATTGAAGTGAAAATAAAACAAAAATATAGTTAAATTCTTCAATGAATATAATTATTACACTTTGGAACATTTGCTACATTATTAATCATGATATAGCAAAGTTACAATTTAATTGAACAAAAACAAGTGTGTTTTTTAAGAATTTGTAATATTGCAAGTGTTTCATTTTACATGTGGTAACTATTATATATTTTATTCAACTTATTGGAATATGTGAACAATTTCTTAACTTTAGATTTCAGCTGTTAGGGGAGGATGCAAGTGTAACTGATCTGAACTACATATGCCATATAGTTGATAGTAAACAACGATGCTCTATGAATTGTTTTCCGCCAAAAATTTAATCCCATTAGTTAAAATGGCTACAGAAGCATGTAATTCAACTGTATTCATTGTCATTAACTAATATTGTTAATTATTTGATTACATCTTACTATCTATTAATCCATTCTTACTGATATGACTTTCAAGTTAATTTTTTTTATTCATTCACAGGATGAGGCCATCACTGGCTAGGCCAGCATTTATTGCCCATCCCAAGTTGCCCAGTTAAGAATCAACCACATTGTTGTGGGTCCGGAGTCACATGTAGGCCAGACTAAGTAAGGATGACAGTTTCCTTTCCCAAAGGGCATTAGTGAACCAGATGGGTTTTTCCAACAATGGATTCATGGTTATCATTAGACTTTTAATTCCAGATTTTTTTTTTTGTTGAACGCAACAACCACCATCTGCTGTGGTGGGATTTGAACCCGGGTCCCCAAAATAGTATCTAGGTCTTTAGATTAACAGTCCAGCAATAATACCACTAGGCCATCACCACCCCATAATGTTTTTGGAAACTGTAATACCTTTATGAGTTCAAAAGGAAATCGCTCATGGAAAACTTTGTTGATTCTTGCTCCGCCAGATAATTCTAACGTATCCACCTGATCACCCGATCCTTCAATTCTTTTGTCAAAATCCATAGAAAACTGCTTTACCATCCTGATCAAGGGGAAAAGCATGCTTAGTAATTATCTTTTTCACATGCACAGTAATTAAGGATAAATCAAAGACTCAATTCCATTTTCCCCTCCATTGACACAATTTTCCCCTCTCCAACTCCTAACCGCCTCCCACTCCATGCATCAGTAACTATTTTCACTTGGTCATTAAGGGCATAAAAATGGTGCCGACAGCCCCATTATTCACAATGATAAGTCCACTGAGCCCTATTACTGGATGCCCACTTGAAACATCCACACTGTAGGAATTCTAAAAAAAATAGTTGAGCCTCTGATTTTAATGTTAAGGGAGAGTTTACAAGCATACAATCTGCCCATGTGTACTGATATCCCAATTAAAAACCAGTCAGAAAATATTCAAGCCACTGCTTCAATATCATGCTTCCCAAGTGTCTTTTTGTGGACTTCTGCCAGCATTCCATCAAGATAACATTCCCAAGACCAAACTGTGATGGGCTGTACCTTGACGGCTATTAGAACACTTTAAACTCACATGGCAAATTTAAATGCAGGTTGTTAGTGTCATCACCTGACTTTACTGGATCAGGCCAATGTGCTCTGTCTCCAACAGCAATCCAATAGTCAAAATTAAACTCGTTGACTTATACAGATGTAAGATTTTGTCCAGCACCATGTTTTGCTTAAAACAGACCTTGGTAAGTTACACTATTTTAGTAATTTTAAATCTGTAAGCTCTGTCTTAATAGGAAGCCAGCCAACCAGAAACTAGGTTGACTGCCATGTTTTGAAGTTTCACTGAGCTGACAAGGAGAGAGAAAGAGAGAGAGATATGCTATTCCTGAGGCTGCATAATAAAGTCACATTTCCACTGTTGTGACATAATAAACAAAGCTGAATGGAGAAAGACAAGTAGCTGAGGCTATCAGCAAAAATGCTTTTCATTGAAAGTTCAATTAAAATACAATTGTGGTGTTTTCCCCAGATTATAAATGCTGGCATCTTGTGCTATTTGCCATCTTCACAAGAATGTGGTACTGCCTAAGAGTTGTTTGAGGTACTTTGCTGCCACAAATCTTCCCTTGTCTTGGCCCTGTCTAGTGGTTACACCACCACAGATAATCTACAGAAGCAACACTGTTCTGTGATAACAAGGAGAGCTTATTGCATGATAGCAATTAGTCACACTACATTTGGTCAGGTAGAATTGCTCAGATAGCAGGGAGCTGGTACAGATACATCTTTTTATCTCCTTGTTTCCAACCAATGATTGTGTGTAACATCTTAGAATGGGTAAAACCAACCAAACATGAACATTAACCTCTTTAGAACCATTACCTTCTGTAACACCAGTTATTCTGAGTTATTGAACAATGACATTGTTAGGCGGGTCGGTCTAGTTTGAACATGTCGGTAATTGACAGCTTGGGAGGTTAGCCCTCTGTAAATTGTATTTATTCAATTGCCAGAATAATGACTAGACTATCATGAAATGTGTTGTTCCATTATTTGGTGTTGTTGTCAAACTTCAGTAGCTCCTTTATTTTTCACAGGCAACAGCACAAGAATAATCCAGTGGCTTTTGGATACATGTTCTAAGAAGCTTTGACATAGCCACTAATGTTCAACAGTCTCATGTGTTACTTTTGCAAAATACCAAGTTCTGAAGTACAATATTTCAAAAAATTTGATTCCATTTCATTTTCAAAGCTATGCCAAGGTGCTGAAATTTCTTCGTTTCCACCCACTGCATTTCATGGCTTCATAAAAATCTAAATTGGCATTGTATGAATGAACTTCTAACACAAGCTGAAAAATATCAGTGTAAAGTAACAAAACCTGTGCTGCTTGCAATTCTGACCTTATATGCAGTTCCCTCCACAAGACATAGAGATTTTGGATACTGCCATTAACCACAGGAACTCAGAGTATGACCCTCATCTAGAGAGACAGAGAAACTTCCTGGGGTTTATGGACATATCTGATGAAAAGACAGATGTGAATTTTACTCTGTAGCTGGAAAGTAAAAGAGGAAACATACTCTACAATTACAGCTGCTTTTCCACATACTAATATGAGATGTATCAATTACCCTGATTTTCCTGCAAAACATAATAATAATGAGATTAATAGAATAAAAGGGACATGGATACAAAAGAAGAAAGTACTAATCAATGGTCCCACAACATGGGTGCATGAATAGGAAGAGTTTAGAGGAATATGGGCCTAATGCTGGCAAATGGGACTAGATTAATTTAGTATATCTGGTCAGCATGGATGAGTTGGACTGTTTCCATGCTGTACAAGTCTATGACTATAACAATATGCTTGGTTGAAAGTGAAAGGGAATTATATTGATCAGACTATTGTACTTCAGAGAAAAACCTTTTATTTGCAAAATTAACATGAGTATTAAAACTTAGTGGTCAAGGCAAGGCAAGGCAAGAAAAACAGTGCATAATTTTTCAGTATGGAGATGCCACAAAACTTGGAAACATGGTAAACAGTGAGGAGAATATGATGTAGGGATTTCAAAACAATGCTACGAATTTTAAAATGTATATGTTGCGAACTGGTAAATCAGCAAAACTAGAGATAATGGATGAATACATTTGGTGAAAGTTAGGATGAGGAAAACAGAGATTTGGATCAGCTTAAGCTTATGAATGTACAAGCTGGATGGGAAGCCATGAGATTTTAGGGACAAATCAAGCCCAGATATAACAACAGTATGGATGGCTTTTTCAGAAGCAGCCTCGCTGAGCCAGGGGCAAGGATAGGCAATAATATAGTACTATATCATAACAGGCTTGATTATTGCATGGCTATGCAGTCAGAAACTCTTAAGCTTAATTATGCTGCCTGGTTTGTGAATAGTTGCTTTTGGCCTCAGACAGTGGCCGCTGAAACGGATAGAGTCAGTGCTATGGGAACAGAATTTGTGGAGGGGATCAAAAACTATATTCTATTGCACAAGGTTTCTGATTATCCAGTACAATATGTCAGACCAGTATTGCAAGAAATCAGAGAGAGTGCAGGGGTTGACAGGTTGGTGGTGAGGTAGAGTTGAATGTCATCAGGATGCATGTGGAATCTGACAGTATGTTTTCAGATGTTGTTCTCAAGATACACGATGTAACTAAGAAACAGAATTTGATCATGGATGTATCCTTGATACTCCACTAAAATTTAAAGAAATCAAGCAGCACTCATGCTCAAACTTGGTGTGGGATATTTAGGGTTAACTGGGTGACTCAAGAGAGTTTCAGACTGGTTTGAAGTTACAGCACTATATTATATGGACCAGATTTGGGATGCCTGAACCCAACTTGCCAGTCCTCATACCATTAAGGAAATTCATAATTTTCAAAAGGTGTTCTCTAAATATATAGTATTCTTTTTATGGATAATATATATCTTTAAAACTGTATGTTATCATCGGCCACCACGTCTTAAGTCTACAAAAAGCTTCATTCCATGATGTTAACCGGCACCAGGTTTATAGAAGAGATTACAGAAATGACGTTTCAACTTACCAAATCAAAGACCTAACATTATTTAAATTGAGTTTTCCATTATCAATGTGGACAAAGGAATTTAGAGCAGAATTCTTATAAATTTGAGTGGGCAGAATTATGGCAGACAGAATTCCATGTGTGGAACTGGAATACAAAAACGAAGAGATGATGCTTAAATTGCAAGTTAAAGGGGTCCTAGTTCAGTCCCCATTTGGAATATTGTGTCTGCAGTATTACACCCAGATGAAAGATTTATTAGCTTTACAGTGAGTAAAGTGCAAATCCATAATACTATTGCAGTTTAAAAGATTGAACATAATCACAACATACCATTATCAGATTACATAAACTTGATTTTTATTAACTGGGTTGAAGGTTGAAGAGTGAGAGTATGTTATTGATGTACATGAATTTTCAAAATACATCTGATACAGTGCCACACGACTGATCTGCGACAAAATTTATAGCTCATGGAATAAAAGGGACAAGAGAAAACGGGGACAAAAATCGGTTGAGTAATAGGAAGCAGAGTAGTGGTCAATGGATATTTTTATGACAGGAGGAAAGTTGTAGTCAAAGTCCCCAAGGATCAATATTGGGACCCCTGTTTTTCCAGATACATATTTCCAAGAAGATCATCCAGATCCTTTATTCATTAATGGGATGAGGATGTTGCTGGCTAGGGCAACATTTATTGCTCATCCCTAATTGCCCAGAGGGCAGTTCAGAGTCTACCACACTGCTGTGGGTCTGGAGTCGCATGTAGGCATGACCAGGTAAGGATGGCAGTTTCCTTCCCTAAAGGATATTAATGAACCAGATGGACTTTTCCTGACAATCAACAATGGATTCATGGTCATCATTAGATTATTAATTTTTTATTGAATTCAGATTTCACCATGTGCCGTGGCGGAATGCAAACGTGGGTCCCCAGAACATTATCTGGGTCTCTGGATTAACAGTCCAGCGATAATACCACTAGGCCATTGCCTCCCCAAATGGTGTGTGGGAACAATTTCAAAGTTTATGGGTGATAAGATACTAGGAAGCAGTGTAAACTATATAGAGGATAGAGTAGGAACTCAAAAGGACAAGAGAAGTTGGTGGAGTGGGCAAACAGGTGACAGGTAAATTTCAGTACAAAGATGAATGAGGTGACACATGCTGATAGAAAGATCATGGACAGAGAATACAAATTGGTATAGGTCTTAAGGGTTCAGGAGCAGAGGGAATTAGGTGTGTATGAGGTGGCAGGACAGTTGGAGATAGCAATTAATAAAGCATACCATACTCTGGGCTTTATTAATGGGACACAGAATGCAAAAGCACAGAGTTCAAAGACTTCAGTTATGAGGCTGAACTAGCAAGGTTGGTCTGTTCTCCTTGGAGAGAAGGGGAAGAGGAGATCTGATAGAAGTCTGATAGAATTATACTTTCTATTGATGTGGCATGGTGGCTCAGTGGTTAGCACTGCTGTCTCACAGCCCCAGGGACCTGGGTTCAATTCCACCCGCAGGTGACTGTGCAGAGTTTGCACATTCTCCATGTGTCTGCATGGGTTTCCTCTGGGTTCTCCTGTTTCCTCCCACAATCCAAAGATGTGCAAGTTAGGTGGACTGGCTGTGCTAAGTAGCTCCATAGTGTCCAGAGACGTGCAAGTTAGGTGTGGAAAATATAGGATAGTGGGGGGATGGGTTTGGATAGGACACTCTTCAGTGGGTCAGTGTGGACTTGTTGATCCAAGTGGCCTGATTCCACACTGTAGGGATTCTTTTAAAAAAAAAAGTTTTGAAAATCATGAAGGGTTTGGATAGAATAATCCTCGAGAAACTGTTCCCACTCACTAAAGAGTCAAGAATCAAGGGGCACAGACATAAAGTCACTCGTAAAAGTAGCAAATATGACTAAAAACTTTTTTACACAATGAGTGGCTTGCATCTGGACACGTGGTAAAGGCAGATTCCATTGAGGCATTTAAGAGAGCACTGAATGATTATTCAAATAGAAACAATGGGCAAAGTTACAGAAAAAGGCAGGAGCATGGCACTAGGACATAATGCACATTTGGAAAGCCAGTGCAGACACAACAGACCAAATGACCACTTTCTTTTGAATGATAAACGCATTTGATAGTGTAGATATACAAAACTGTTTCTAACAATACAGTCATCACAGCAAAGTGGCTTATTTTAAAATTAAAGTTAAGCCATTTAGGACTGAGAACCACAAACAATTCTCACTCAAAGTTCAAGAAATCCATGTCGTAATCTCACTTTAAAAGCGGTGCGGCTTTAAGCACTCAATTTGTAGATGGGCCAAGACATTATCATGTGACCAGAGGCCACTATCATTCCATACTGCAGCACCCTAGGTCAAGGATCTGTCTAGAAATCACTTTGTACCTTATGTAATAATCTTAGCAGTGGTTAAATCCACAAGAGATCTTCAAGTAAACGGAATCCATGCAACTCCATTAAGGAATCACTACAGTCCATATTATCTGTTAAACAAATCAGTTTCACAATCAATCAAGCATAATTAACATACAGCAAGAGAGCTTTGGTTGTTATGGCAGGGTCATCAGGTCGGCAGTCCTTATATTCCTCTACTTCTTTTTCTAAAGATAACAGCTGCCTCTGAAGCTTGTTGCGCAATGCTGGAAGTGTTTCCCGAATGTGGTTAGTTAGTTGCTAAAGAAAAAGAAACAAAACTAATATTGAACTATACAAGCTACATTCAGGTAAATAAATGGATTTGTCAATCCATTCAAAATAGACAACTTCAAATGAGTTGTACTATATCATTCACAGAATATTTCAAATGCTTTTTTATTCAGTCATGGGATGTGGCAATGCTGCCTGGGCCAGGCATTTATTGCCCACCCTTAGTTGCCCTTGAGAAGGTGGTGGTGAGCTGCTTTCCTGCACCACTGCAGTCCACGTACTGTAGGTAGACTCACAATGTCACTGGGGAGGGAATTCCAGATTTTGACCTGGCAACAGTGAAAGAACAGCGATATCTTTCCACGTCAGGACAGTGACTGGCTTAGAGGAGAACTTGAAGGTGGTGGTGTTCCCAAGCATCCGCTGCCCTGGTCATGAGTTTGAAAGACACTGTCTCAGGAGTGTTGGTGAATTTCTGCAGTGCATCTTGTAGATGGTACACACTGCTCCAACTGAGCATAGATAGTAGATAATAGAACGTTTGTGACTAAATATAGTGCGCCAATTAAGTGCGCCTGCTTTGTCCTGGATGGTGTCAAGCATCATGAATGTTGTTGAAGCTGCATTCAACAGGCAACTGAGGAGTATTTCACCACACTCCTGACTAAGTTATTTTATATTTGATAAGTAGCTGAAAATGAAAGTGCAATTAAACCTATTGTTGATCTATTGAAATTTTAGAACAGCATCTATTTTAATGAAATTCTGCTTGAGCAACACCAAGCAGGGGATATGATTGACAAACCTGCCTTACCTATTAAAGTACTATATAAGCTATGGACAGTAGAATGCCTCTGCAAATTTTACCTCGGACAATTAAACTGAAACATAAATAATCACATTAAAAACTATGCAGTGTTCCACTCTATCCTCTCACCTCATTAAGAAGCCTCTGGAGGTGTGGTGTTCCCATACGTTCTGCCATGTGTCTATATGCTGGCTGAGAAAGAAAAAAATTTCCTTCTGCTGCAAGTGCTGTTTTAATGTCCTTTTTCCCTTCAATATCCTTCTGACTTCTGTTGACAACACCAATATATCCTAGCAGCCAAGAAAACAGAAATAGGAGGTTCATGATTTTATTTCTTCATACTTGGCATATAGGTTTTGATGGCAAGCCCAGCACTGACCCCCTAGTTGCCCCTGAAAAGGTGGTGGTGAAGACAACTGAATGTCTTTTTAGGATATTTCAGAATATAGTTAAGAGTCAAATAAATTGGCATGGGACCGGAGTGGCATAGAATTCACAGAATCCCTACACAGTGTGGAAACAGGCCCTTCGGCCCAAGAAGTCCACACCAATCCTTGAAGCATCCCACCCAGACCCATCCCCCTATAACCCACCTAGTCTACAGACCCCTGAACACTACAGGCAATTTAGCATAGCCAATCCACCTAACCTGCACATCTTTGGACTGTGGGAGGAAACCGGAGTACCCGGAGGAAACCCACGCGGACACGGGGAAAACGTACAAACTCCACACAGACAGTCATCCGAGGGTGGAATTGAACCTGGGTCCCTGGCGCTGTGAGGCAGCAGTGCTAACCACTGAGCCACCATGCCGCTCCTATAGAGAAGGCTGGTCCTTAGTAAACCATTTGGGTTTTAAATGGCAATTGTGGTCACTTTTACCAACTTTTTGAATATTTGCTTTAATAAACTGACAACAAATTAATAATTGCCATCAGAGATACCAAGAACTGCAGTTGCTGGAGTCAGAGATAACACAGTGTGGAACTGGAGGAACACAGCAGGCCAGGCAGCATCAGAGAAGTAGGAAAGTTGATGTTTCAGGTCGGGACCCTTCCTCAGAAATGGGGGAAAGGAAGGGAGAAATAAATACAGAAAGGAGGAGTGGGGCTGGGGAAGGTAGGTGGGATGGTGATTGGTGAGTGCAGGTAGGAGTGGTGGGAATTGGTCAGTGAGGTGGGAGGAGCAGATAGGTGGGACAGACGATGGACAGATTGTGTCAGGTCAAGGAGGCGGCGATGAGAGGGAGTGTTGGTCATAGGATGAGGTTGGGGGTGGGGAGATTTTGAAACTGGTAAAGTCCATATTTAGGCCATTGGGCTGTAGGCTCCCGATGCAGAATATGAGATGCTGTTCCTCCAGTTTCCAGGCGGCGTCATTGTGACATGGAAGAGGCCCAGGATGAACATGTCACTCAGGGAGTGGGAGGGGGAGTTGAAATGGTTTGCGAATGGAAGGTGCCATGATGAGTTTTGAACTCATATGTCTAGATTATCTGTATCACTTTGCTAACTTTAACAAGTGAAAAGCAGAACAGCAGCTTACTAAGTTGAACATTCAGATACATGAATCAGAATCAGAATCAGAAGAATCAGAATCAGAATCCCTACAGTGTGGAAACAGGCCCTTCGGCCCAACAAGTCCACACAGAACCTCAGAGCATCCCACCCAGATCCATCCCCCTATGACCCACCTAACATGCACCCTCTACCTCCCTGAACACTATGGGCAATTTAGCATGGCCGATCCGCCTAACTTGCACATCTTCGGACTGTGGGAGGAAACCGGAGCACCCGGAGGAAACCCACGCAGACACGGGGAGAATATGCAAACTCCACACAGACAGTCGCCCGAGGCTGGAATCGAACCCAGGTTCCTGGCGCTGTGAGGCAGCAGTGTTAACCACTGTGCCACCGTGTCTCAATTCCCAAGAATGTCTCTTCTGACTAGTTTGGTAAATAATTCATTATTTTTGCCACATCCCACTGAACAAACTCTACAGATTCTGCATAAGTTTGCAAGGTAACCTTTGTTATTAATACCAGAGCTCTTGATCTTAGAACAGGGTTAAAGTGATACCACTTCCTTGAAGGGGTTACAGAATCATAGATGATTGCCTTGGTTACTTTGTAGCTTCACATCTATTTGACAGTCAAGACTGCTCTGCTAAATCATTAACTGAGAGACAGAAGCATGATTCCATGCCACACCAGCCTACAGTGCAAGATGACTACTGTACAAAGCACGATCAGGTTAAAAAAAGTAACACTTTTACTAAATCCCAGGCTGTTCTGGTTTTACATTTACAAATATTGGCAGGGACTGGCAGAGCTCAACTTCAATTTAAAAAAGCCACTTTTGAAAGCAAAGCAATTTGTGACAATGTGAGGGCTTGTTGGTGGCATTGTGGTAATCCAGGCGAGTAAGCTAATGCTGTGGGAATGTAAATTCAAATTCCACCGTGGCAACTTGTGAAATTTAAATTCCATTAATTCATCTGGAATATTGTGTCAGTAATGGTGACCATTAAACTATCAGCAATTGTCCTAAAAATACATCCAGTTCACCCATATGCCTTCCGAAAGGAGATGTAACATCCTTACCTGATCATCTGGCCTACATGTGACTTCAGACACCGGAAATGTGGTTGACTTTTAACAGTGCTCTGAAACATCCTATCAAGCTATTCATTTCAAGGGCATTTATGGACGATCAACAAATATTGCCCCTACAGCAACAACCACATCCCATGAAAGAATAAAGAAGAAAAATAATGAGTGAGCTGTTGTTACAGGCTGACAATATTCTGAAAACTGATTTGCTAAAGAGTGCTTTGGACACCAATTACAATGGGCCAGTTATACGTGATACCTCTGCGAAGAGGCAGAATCTTGTTCTCCAATACATCTCTGGCATCTGTACCATCATCCATTAGATCCAGCTTGGTTATCACACCAATTGTCCGCAAACCTAGTCAAATGAGAAGACCTAATTTTTAAAACAGCAATTTTACTAAGTATACTTTTCAGCTAGCAGATTACAGTTTTATTTTGTTTAAGATGGGTGACCGATATATTAAATGTTGTGGTTGGTTTGCTCACCGAGCTGGTTCGTTGTTCCTCAGATGTTTCATTGCCCTGCTGGGTAACATCATCAGTGCAGCCTCTGATGAAGTGCCGTTGTGTTTTCCTGCCTGGTATTTAAACTCTGGGGTCCATAGAGTTTGATTACCTCACTTCTGGTTTTTCTTTGCAGTGGAGTATATATAAGGTCTCTCTCTCTATGTGTTTGTTGATGGTCAATCAAACTCAATGACACCAGAGTTTAAATACCAGGCGGGAAATCACAACAGTGCTTCATCGGAGGCTGCACTGATGATGTTACCCAGCAGGGTAATGAAACGTCTGTGAAACAACGAACGAGCTCGGCGAGCCAACCAACCACAACATCCACAACGCGAGCTACAAATCTACTCAAAAACCTTAGTGATATGTTAAATCAACTAGTTACTTTAAATAATTCCCATGTACAACTTTGGTCCATTTCAGGGCTGTAAAGAAGGTATGTGTTTCATTAAAAAAGCATGAGATAATATTAAACAAATGATTACTAATGCTTATTAAACTTATAAAAGAACCTAACATATGTACTCAAACTCAAAATACTGTGGCATTTGGAAACCTAAAACAAAAGAACAGAAAATGTTGGAGAACCTCAGCAGGTTTGGCAGTATCTGTGGAGACAGAAACAAAGTTAACAGTTTGATTTTGGTTTAACTCTTCTTCAGAACACTAAGGTTTTCTCAGTTCTGAAAAATATGTACTCTCCTACTTTTGGCACACAAAGTTCCAAATCATCAAGGGGGTCATGATGACACAACACATTGCTGCACAAGTGCACAATACTCCAGAACACTGGACCACATTTTTTGCTGTTGGCCACTTTTTTAGTCCCAATTAGGACAAGGCATCTCCCCTTTCCTAAAAACAGAGAAAATTGGACCAAATGTTGCAACAATCCATTTCCCACATACCGATTAGTAATAGTGTTGAGATATTTGACAGATGCCATACAGCAAGCTGACTCTATGAACTCCGTGGACTCAAGAATGACAGAAAGATTTGAATTGCAAGCCAGTGTTCTGTAGGAATTGTTTTCCGTCCATCTTCAAGAAAACCACAAGTAAAATGCGCAGCTTATACCGTGAGGCACTCACAATCTTGTGTTTCGTGTTTGCAATCCGCATGGCTTTACTATATGAAGATCTGGACTTTGGTATGTTGGATTGGAAGCATGGGGATTTCACGGTTGAGTTATTTCAACAGCAGTTCAATGAAAAGGGATCACTTTCAGAATATGGTGCTCCCCCCTCCTCAATTCATTGAACTTACAAATATTGGTAAACAGAACATACAAGTTAATTGACTGCCTCAGAAAATGTAAAATATACATAATTGAGACAAAAGATGTGCTGCCAATGATATACATAATCCTGCTGCAGTACTCATTGTGTTTAACGTTTAGAAACACAAGTTCCCTCAGTCAGCACCTCAACACACGTTATTTACTTCTTTGGAAAGAAACCAAATAACCTATCCGAAAAGCTAAGGTTTCCCTGGAACTGTAGGCATCTATATAAAGAAGCCTTACCTTGAGGATCAACATCTTTTGCCAGCTTAAGTGCATCTGAATTAGCCAAGTCAGTATTAGCTGGGGTCACTGCCAAAATTAGGCAATTTTCTCGAATGATGAATTGCATTATTATGTCCCTGATTTGGTATTCAATGTCTGGTGGTTGATCTCCTACGGGTACTTTAGTGATACCAGGCAAATCAATCAGGGTCAGGTTTAACACTGTAAAGTAAAAAGAAAACAGCAAGTAAATAACTATTACTGTTTTCACCAAATGCAATGCAAGTACAAACATTTCTTTGTTCCAATTCCATGTAATCTTTGTGATTGAATATCTAAAATCACAAAAATTAAAAATTGACATTGGGGTTAATATGGCAGTAATGGCCTCAAAATGGAGTTGGCAGACTACAGCTGGTAAATGAGGTTGATCCTTCAGATATGAATTAGTGCTATATCTTTGAAAAGGCCTTAACCTAAGTATTTCTTGTTTCAGTGAGTAACCTTCTTAAGCAAATTAGGTCCAATGATGCAGCTATGATTCAGCTTGCAATCTTAAGTGACATGTGGGTGGAGCATATGTTGCACAAATGCCACATTCTGGCACCAAGTTGTGTAACCAATTGGTTGCCACTGAGCAACCAAAAAAGTATTTCTTCACATCATATTTTGTTCCTAGCCTTCAAAAGCTATTTTTTCAATGTAAGTGATCAATGTAGTCTTTAGCCATTGTCCAAATGAGGCATGTTTCACCAGGTGCTGAAACCTTATCTGACTCTTTCTTCCCTTTTTAGGCTAGAGTTATTAACATTTATAGTAACTCCCACCACCACCTTGGAAGGTTGGCTTTGTTTACATAATCTGAAAGTATATATTACGAATTGCCACATTATAGAGCACATTTATCAACTGAGGTATTTGGATATTAATGCACTTTATCATTGAATTCTTAGATTGTGATTAATCCACAGGACCCTATATTTGTGTTGATTAAAGCAGTGGAACTATCACTATACACAGACTCAAGCTGACATGATACAAGTTCAACAATGTAGAGTATTTCTAGGTATACTAAGAAGCTAACATCCTTCTCACTTTGATCTCTTGTATGGTGCTTGAATTAGCTCATCATAGAGCCAAATCCAGCTCAGACCTATGGAACAACAGTGTCCTCTGTCTAGTCAGTGCAAAAATGTTGTGTAATGCGATTTTAGATTGGGTGAGTCCCATTTCACTAATGCAACATCAATTAACATTCTAACCCAAAGGATGGTAAATGGAAAAGCATTACACTTGTGCCATAGTGGAGATAGTTCTGAGGCTTGTGCACATTTATGAAGGAAGGGTAAAAAGAATTGAAGTCTGCATAGTTCTCTGTACCAGACCTGACTTGTGAATGCCTCATCTTGACTCAGACTACCTAAGTAACAACTTTTTCCAAGCAATAACATCCCCTACCTCAAATAATATAGGTTTCACAAATCAGCTTTAAATGACAAGGCCACAATTATTAAAACTGCTCTGATTTTAGCAATGTTAGAGGGCATCAGATGAATGGTGAAAAAGTTACACTGTTTCAGCACATATTATTGGCCTGGTTATACCTCATTTAAATAGCCAATTATCATGTTTCAGAGTTTGGCAATGCAACACTCACATTTTAAATAAACTCAGCTAAATACTAGGATAGCAGAAACATTTTTAAATTTACATTTACTTTTTAAACTACATACATACTCTATAATGCATATCCTTTTGCAATGTAAACAGACATGAAAATGAGGTAAAACATAAGCAAGTGCTACACCTGCCCCTACACCTCCCCCCTCACCCCCATCCCAGGCCCTAAGAAGACCTTCCACATCAAACAGATGTTCAACTGCACATCTGCTAATGTGGTATACTGTATCCGTTGTTCCCGTTGTGACCTCCTCTACATCAGGGAAACCAAACGGAGGCTTGGACCACTTTGTGGAACACCTATGCTCGTTTCGCAACAAACAACTACACCTCCCAGTCGCGAACCATTTCAACTGCCCCTCCCACTCCTTGGATGACATGTCCATCCTGGGCCTCCTGCAGTGCCACAATGATGCCACCCGAAGGCTGCAGGAACAGCATCTCATATTTCGCTTGGGAACCCTGCAGCCCAAGGGTATCAATGTGGACTTCACAAGCTTCAAAATCTCCCCTCCTCTGACCGCATCCCAAAACCAGCCCAGCTCCCTAACCATTCCTCCCACCTCAAGCCCCACCCCCATCTCCTACCCACTAACCTCATCCCGCCTCCTTGACCTGTCCAATCTCCCTGGACCGACCTATCCCCTCCCAAACTCCCCACCTACATTCACCTTTACTGCCTCCAACCCCACCTCTTTGACCTGTCTGTCTCCTCTCCACCTATCTTCTCCTTTATCCAACTTCTATCCGCCTCCCCCTCTCTCCCTATTTATTTCAGAATCCCCTTCCCCTCCCCCATTTCTGAAGAAGGGTCTCGACACGAAACGTCAGCTTTCCTGCTCCTCTGACGCTGCTTGGCCTGCTGCGTTCATCCAGCTCTACACCTTGTTATCTTAGGTAAAACATAATACATGAAAGCTTGTGTATAATGCCTAAGATAATTGTTAGTTGAACAGCAATGTTGAAGTTATAGGCAACAACAAATTGAAGTACACCATCATACCAATAAATGTCAATGTGCATAAATTGAGAACTAAGAATTACAGTCACATTTTACTTTTCTCATGACGTATGTGATCTGTGCTGCTTAAATCTTTGCAGAAGGCAACATTCAAAAAAATAAAGTTAATTAACAACAAATTGAGGCCTTTGAAATTAGGGATATTTTCATATCATAATTCTTAGACTTCTATAATGCAGGCAGAGTCTTTTGGAATTCTGATTTCAGATTTTGTAGGAATACAAGTTTGAAACAAGTTTTTTTACATGTTTTTGTCACTAAGACAAAGTGACATTCAATAATAGGAATTGCACAGATTTAACACCATGTTGCCCAACTGGTCTATGCTAGTGTACTCCATATAAGCCTCACCCGATCAAATTACTTCTTGCTAATCTGATCCATATAAATCCATGTCCTCTTCCTCACATATGCATTAAATTTGACATTAAAATATAAACATTTTAAACATGCATATTTCTACCTTCACATTAGCTTCTGGTCTTTCTCAGTCCCTGAAGATGCAATCCGTCTAAATTTTTGTCTTCCTTAAATTTGGCTAGCTTTTCATATCTTGCTCTGTTCTGCATAACTATTAAAAATCCATCTTGACTTTATATGCACATGAAATTTTCTATTTCATAGCTCTTCAATAAACACTAAGGCAAAGGTTGAGGATTTTCCCTTTACATTGCGAATCATGGGTTGGGTCTTCACTATTAATTCCTGCCTTTTGAATAAACATAAAGATACATGTGAATATCACCCCAGAGAATGAGAATTGGTTGAAATCAGGCCTCTGCCTTCCAAAACAGGCAGAGATATAAATGGTGATGACAAGACAGGCAAGTTAGAAGGCCTGCCTCTATTCACTGTGACATTAACCTACTTCTGAAAATGGGTGTTAATCATTGTTACCCACACACCATTACCATTTATCCTGTTCCCTCAATGCCCCTTCATATCTTCCATTCTCTCTCCATAATCACTCATCTAGTATCATTTATGGTCAGAACTCATGAGTCTCAAAATAACACTGGGAAATCTTTGAAATACACACGAAACATCAAAATAACCAACTGCCTTTCAAATGCCACTTAAGAAATTTGCCCCTCTTTGGTGCTCATAAAACTGTCGAACACAAAGCAGTTCAAATACTTTGAGAAAAGGTACTCCAACTTAAGTGCTCATAAATCTTTCAAGATAAACAAATAACAATTCAAAAATACTTCAAAAGAAACACAAACCGCATTATATATTCTTAAAACTATAAATCAAAGTTCACACTCCCCTTGAATCGGCTGCTCTGATAACCCCAGTTGATAAAAATCTGAGAGTCTGAAATATAGTCATGCATTCAGAATAAGTTTCCATTACACAGCTGTGTCAACAAAACCCACAGAAGTGAAAACATTCAGTTTTTGAAGTTGTCAGAAGAGATGGCTAGTTTCTTTCCCCAAAGGTTCGGATGTCTGAACATTAAATTAATGTAAAAATCAAAGTACAGTATCCAGATGGCATATTAATACCTGATTCTCTGTTGCATGCACAAGGATCCATTATCCACTTAAAAATACTCGAATTAATCAAATGCCAGTCAATGTAACTGTCACTTACTTTTTGAAGACAGAACCCTTTATCTATTATTGTAAGAAAGACACAATAACGTAATTATACAGCATCTAGTTATGATATTTGAAGTTAGCAACACTTTTTAAAAGCAACTTTAAAGATTCCTGACTCCACACCTTCCTCATGATTCATGAACTGATCGTACCAGAAAACATTCTCTCAGGTTTCAAGAACCTATCTAACTCACTAAAAATCTCAAATTTAGAAAATTCATAATGGAGGCAGACACTTAAAGGCTGAACTCAATGCCCCTTTGAGTGCCCTTCAATTGAGTAGCAACCTGACACACTTCTTGTATGAAATTGCAACTGGCAGGAATCAGCTGGGAAGTTTCAATTTATCGTCTCCATGCCTCCATTTTTGGTGGCTCAATGCATGTTTTCCCAGGGTGAGAATGGAAAAATCCAGCCCTAAAGGACACATATGAAGCAGGCACAGCAGTAGGAAAATCTGACACTCTAGTCTGCTCTGCTATTCAATAAGATTGTGGTTGATCTGATTACAATGACATTCCTGCCTAATCTAATAACCTATCAATCCTTGCTCTTCAAGGATCTATCTAATCTGAGCCTTGAAAAGATTCAGATTCCACAGCCTCTTCAGGGAGAGAGTTTCAAAGATTCACGGCCCGGACAGAAAATAATTTTTCCGTGTCTCTATCTTAAATGGGTGACACCTTAGTTTTGAACAGTGGCCCTTAGTTCTAGAATCCCCCAGGTGAGGAAGCATTCTTTTCACATGAACTTTGTCAAGACCTCTCAAGATTCTTCCCTCTTACTCTTAAACTCCAAGGAATACAAGCTTAGCCTGTCCAACCTTTCCTCATTAGGCAACATGCCCATTCCAGAGATTAGTCTGGTAAATCTCTTCTAACAGCTTCCATCACACTTACATGATTCCTCAAATACAG